AATACCAGAAGAAATGCTTCACTTTAATCTTGCTAAATACAAGTACATTAAATAGTGACCTAATCAACCATACCAAAAGCACTCAAAATATAGAAATAAGTTTTACAGAACATAACATTAGTAAATAATTCTGTTTTCTCAACAGGATTTGAATCACACAGAAATGCCCTTCAGTGACATAAGTAATGCAACCACAAACTCAAACACAAAACAAAGACTCAAATAACTACTAATTAACTGAGTACTATTTATCCTGTGTATTAATAAGGACAGGTTCTTGAAGGGGAAAAAAAGGCACTTAAGTAATTAAAGGCAATCAGTACATAAGAACAAGGGACCAAATTAAAAATCCAACTGTCTGCTTTCTACCTACAAATTTCTGACTTTTGAACATTTAAGCATTTAACTGCAATAACATTTTCTGTATCCAGCTCTGTACAGAGAAGCCCCACCAAGCGCAAAATCTCACCCTGTATCTAAAAGTCATCTTTTGCTATCCTATATTGATTTTTTTCAATATGAACTTAAAATGGTGCCATGCTTCTTTTTCAGGTATTGGGGGTTGGGTTTTTTTCCTCCTTTGTCAATTCAGGAAAATACAAGGATTATTTTCTCTTATTTACAAGATACTGATGCTGACATAAAGGAAATACATCAAGGTTAAACGACAAAACACTAATGTTACAACAATATTTGCACACTAAAACTTACACAAGGAAGCCATTTCCAGAGGATTTTCCCAAATGCCTTCTAGTAATAACTTCTCCATAATTGTGAAAGGTAACCATAGCATAAAACCAGAGGAGAGTCAATATACTCTTTTAAGAATATGTACAACTATAGATATACATGGCAAAATATGTACTGGAAATCTTAAATCTAAATTACCTGTAAGCTTTAGAAACAGCTCCACAACTGCAACTAAGTACAGACTGAGGACTGCTTTGCAATAAAAAAATATAAATTTGCATAGTATTCACTTAAAACCTTTAAGGAACAAATTAACGATGATAAAACCATTAATTCCTTTCTAAAGTGAAAAAATGTACAATAAAAATAAATAATAGTAAAATTACAGTACATTGATTTAAATGAGCATATGTTGCAGCAGCAATTCTTATATCGTATGAATTTGACTTCTATTAGTAAAATAAACTGTATGAAATTGTCTTAAATGTCATTAAAAGATATTCATTTTTAAGATACCTGTGCATTCACCTTACCAAGCGTAAGCAATTTTCATCCAATTAGCATTAAATTAGAAGAAAGACATTACATGAGATACATATCTCAGTATCCAGTGTTCCAGTCACTATGACTGGCTGACAGATTGAAACTTGAGCTGCAAGATTATATAAATAAAATCTTTGGATTTGGTAGAAATAATATAAGAAGGAACAAAGAAGTTGAAAAGTTTAAGTGGCAGCAGCAGGCATTCTTAAGACCCTATTTGTGGTTGACAACTCCAGGATGCTACTAAAGTTTCTCTTCTGGTTTGAAATATGGTCTGGTGCCGTATGAAACAAGACAGTAACACTTAAGAGTTTTGTTGACAGCCCTATCAGTGCAGTGGTACAGCGATACCTCTGCATGTAAATGGAGAAGCACATCTCAAGAAGGTAAGTCGGAAAAGAAAGAAAAAGGCACACCTCTGTGGTCTCTTCTACTGAAGACTCTCCCAGCAGTAAGCTAAGCCAGAATCACCTACTTCGGTCCAATTACTGAATCCTATGTGTTCATGCAAGAAATCTTTACAAGCTTGGCTTTAGTTTCTGAATGCACAAAATCATCCTATTCACAAGCAAGCAAACAAACAAACAAAAAAAATCAGTCATTTTGGACTCTGCTTCGTTCTAGTGCTCAGTTTCATTTCTCTGTAGACTTCAAGTCAGTACAAAATCCAGGTGAAAATCATGAAATTTCCTCCTAAATGAGGGATTCAACATCACAAGTCCTAAGACAGCCTACGGAAATTCACACTGTCATCATCACTGACTTCTGAATACTAACGTGAACAAGATTTTACAGAAGTTGAAATGCACTGATTTCAAAATGTAAACTACTTCTCCAGTATTCAAACATTATACTCAAAGTTTGGCACAATTCCAAAACAATGAAACAGGAGATAGATATCATAAACGTTTATTTCTTCTTTCTGTGACCTGCACAATGGAAATTAGCCCCATATTTGAGGTGGGCTGAAGTTTAGTGTATGTTAAGCCCTATTTTAAGCTCCCAGCCTGATTGTTCTATGTATACCACAGACAAATACAAAATGTTACCATCTCAGCAGCCCAGTTATACTTTACTGGGTAGGTGAAAAGCAGCTTTCTTCAAAATGCTCTTGTTGGTAATTAGAACTGCGTGTTGGTATGAATATTTACTTGTTAGCAGGCAGAAATTAATGGCATATTGCTGTCTCAGGTAAAAGCATTCCTTCTGAGAAAGTTCCCAAGGCTGTCAAAGAATCCGAACCTACTTTTCTATTTGGGTTATGCTAATTAATGTACTTCCTTTCCACTTTTTGATACAATAGCAGACATGAATGGCTACATGCAGTTTTGTTGAGAAATTCTCAACACTTATAGAAATAGTTAATCTTCACACACAAGAGCCTACCCCTTCTTAGGGAAAAGACTGGAAGTGACAAGAGTCTTCTCTGAACAGTTAGCAAACAATAAAACAGCAAGCAGACTAATGAGCTGTAGTGAGATGTCTCACCACAAAAATCTCATAACAATGCCAGCATACTTTAGAAATAGTGACACAGAAAGATATCTGTATTAGATGTATTTGACCTCCCTCCTGCATCGTCAATACCAAGGTGCAAATAACTGCTGGAGGAATTTAGGACACTTACTAGGTGCAAATACCTACTTACAATTCCTTTGCTTAAACACACAAGCAGGCTGAATTTGAAGTACAAGTGTTTCAGGATCACAAATATATATATTTTATGTTTTTAGCCTAAACTTTTATATGTGAGGATATATAATCAATGCATTGAAAGGTATGTCCATGTAATATAAGAAAGTGTACACACTTCAGCAGACAAAAGATATATGGGAGGAATGATAAAGGAAAGGAAAGGTCGAATATAAATAAAATGTCTCCCAGTTCTGTTTTCTTCAGCAGTACAGAAAGCTATTGAAATTAATTTAAAATACTAGATCACACTGGGCCACCTTAGAATAAAAATATTTCTCAATGTTCTACGTTCAGAGAATTACCTTTAATGACAACAGTCACCTACAGAAAATTCAAATCCAGAAGAAAACCACACAATTGTTTCAAAGGAGAACCAATCTAAGTATACTCAATGACCCCTGGCAAACCATTTTAAACCCAAAGGAAAAAGCCTTTCCCAAATATATACACCTGTCAAAATCTTTGCTACAGATATAAAAGGCTAAGAGCTTGATACAACTGTACAAAAGAATATTGGAAATATGGACACTGCAAACAGTTACCATTATCCCTAAGCAAAGGTGAAAAAAAATGATAAAGAATGCAAGTCTTTACTCATCAGAACTTATGACACCCAAACGACAGCACATCTCACATTCAGAAATCTTTCACAATGCAGGGAGCACTACATAGCTCTCCTAGCAAGCACTGATCTGAGCTAGACTATCCAAAGGCCAAAGCATGCCAGCCCAGAAATAACAAGACCAGAGCAGTTCTCAGTTGTGTGGATGAAGCAGGGCTCGCACCCTGAAGCACCAGGCAGCAACTCTGCTCCAAGTCCTGCAGCTAGAACTTGTTCAGTCCCAGTCAGTGTGCGCATTCCTGCCACAGATGTACATACAGTTGTCAGATACCTTTATCACTATTCATTATTTCACCTTTGTACTGTTACCTGAAGCTTCTGATGGTGGCCACTGCCAGAAAAAGACCATTCATGCACCTATGAGTTGTTTGACAATAAAATACAAGTAAAATCCCAAGGACAGATGCCATAAATAATTCTGTGCATGCACAGAATTCTGCCTTTCAGGAAAATTGTTTAGGTTTTCAGAGAGAGCTTATCTTGCAAACTTCGCCAGTTTGCATGAGTCAACTCATTGTCCTTGGGCACAGTTCTTTCCCATACATACACACATATAAATGATACAGACCCATTGTATTCATTTCACTGAAAAGGTTCCAAGGAAGTCCTCTCAAGCTAAAAATCAGGGCATGCTCAAAAATGACAACTATTACCTCCCGAAACCATAGCAGACAACCACATCTAGCTCCAAAATGCGAAGCCTGAGAGACTGCTCAGAAGATATCCTGAAGAAAAGTTTAATACATTTCATTTCATCCTCTCTATCTAGAAAGGAGCTTTTCTTACATTCCAGAAGTGCTAATTTCCACATTAGTAAAAATTGTTGCTCCCATGAACGTGCAAACACATACAGACTCCACAATTCCAGTCCTTCCAGTACAGACTTTTTTTTTTACTTCAGTTGGTAAAAGTAAAAGCGTGCTTCCACTCTTACAGCCTGTGTGTCACACTGAATATTATGCCATCCATGAAATGGGAGTCTTAGCGAGTAATTATCTTTTGTTGACAAGTTTACATATGTATAGATCTTTAGATAAACACACATCATCATGTTAAAGCTTTTCGACAAAGATGAAACAAGCACATAGCTTTGCACCATTTCTGAGATTTGTAGACTCAAGAAACAAAGAAACAAATGTAATGCCAGCCCCCCCATTCTTGCCACTAGAGACATAAAGCATGACAGTAGGTTCACAAGTGCCAGTGGCAGCTTTTGGACCTTCCAAATCTGCCTCCTTGTGAAACAAACTGGATTAAGATTATGACAGTACTTTAAATGTCAATAAGAAGTCAATGTCAGCAATGACAAATGCAAAAAGACAAAACTGCTGGGCCACGCTGAAGTAAACAATTTCTACAGGAAATTCAAATGATTGCTTTTATCTCTTCCAAATGATATTAATACAGCTAAAAAACTCTTAATCATATTAAGTTCACATTTTTAAATTACCTGTTTGAATAATTGCAGTAACAATGGAGAGATAGTCCTCAGGTTCCTGATCAGCGAAGATCTCTCTGCTCCTTCCACTTAAGGTTAGTTGCTCATAAAGCATCTCTGAATTCTCCACCCCACAAAGCAGAATCACCACGTTATCTGGAGGTTGAAGAACGTGTGCCAGAAAACAGCAGCTCTCCTGGTTCAGGCATTTAAGGAGTCCATATGATAGTATCAGGAGTTTACATTTGTAACAACGTAAAGAGAATAACTCCAGATGCTTGAAAGACAAAGTCCCTAGATTGTAGAGTAAGATTCCTTCTTCATTCACTACGTGTCCAAAAAGAGATTTCAAATACAGAGCCCACTCTTCTGCTTCTTGTTCATATATCACAAGAATATCCTTTGTACGCTCTAGAAAAGAAAAATAATTTCAAATCCATTATAAGTATTGGATGCCAGGACATTAGTTTCCACCTGCCCGTCCCCAAATATTTGTGATAAAGAAACAAAACAGGTCATCAGCCTGAAATTACAACCATCTGCATATGTCTAAAACAAGGCAGAAAGATTACCCTCTGAAATACTAGCAAATCAGAATAGAATCAAATAGTATTGAAAAAAAAAAAACAACACACTGAAATCGGTGTTGAAAGCGAGTGCATGACATATCCAGCTCACTCAACTTTTTGATAAATAGGCAATACCACTGAAAATGCAGCAATTAGCTTTTAACTGCAGCAGTAATGAAAGCACATTTGACCACTGCACATGATCTGACTTCACTAGAAACAGGACTGGTACGTTTAAGATATTTCGGCAGCATGGTATTAGGACAGTTGATAGTGACCTTTCTTTATTGTACTTATCCTAGAAAAAAACAATCACAAAACAAAAAACACAGTTGATATGTGCTTTCTCTTTATGAAACAAGATGCTAACAAGACTAACACTCTTCTGTGATGTTACTAGGGTAATGGTAAGAAATAGAGACAACAGCCTCAAACAGAGAAAGTTTCATCTGAATATCAGGAAGCAATTTTATTTTGAGGACAGTAAGCACTGGCACAGCTTGCCCAGTAGGGTCATGGAGTCTCTCACTCTCTCTCTCCTCAGAAATCTACAAAAGTCATCTGTACAGTCCTGAGCAATCCGCTCTAGTTGTTTGAGCAAATGATCTCCAAAGGTCCCTTGCAACCTCAGCCACTCTGCTACTCTGTGAAACCATAGTAGCTGTGACTTGCTAATCAGTGCAATGCACTGTAAGATACCAGGACATTTTAATACCCCTGGAGTAGGTTACAATCAAAGATCCATGGAACAACCATAAGAGACTGAGGAACAGATACAGCTGCTGCATTCTACCTCCACTGAGCTTCACTGTCTCCAAGGTCCCTGATAGGCCAGGTAATCTGACTTTCTACTGCTTGCAATGCACCAGAGCTCCATCACAGGTGAGTATCCAGGTTTTTTCTTGGTCAGTATCAAGAGATACAGAAATGGTGGACATACACAGAGCTAAAAGGTTTTTTGCATGCATGACATATGTGGATACTGGAACATGATGATGGAAGCACAGTATAGATGTATCTCAGGTGATTAAAACAATACCTGCAAAGAATCCTACAGAAGTTCACAGCACAAGAATCAGAAACTGAACACAGAGTCCAGGATTAGTCTGTTAATTATTGGACTTTCCTACTTTCCTTTTTTTTAGAAGAAATTCCTTCACAACTTTGGTCACTGTTAGGAGAGACTTCAAAGTCAGCCCAGCTGAAGGCAGACAAACTTGTAGAACATGAATGCCATAGCTTAGTGTCTAGTATTCATTATATGTCTATCAACTCCTTGCAGTATAGCTGCCCTCTTTTAAAGACTTGTGAATACTTGTCCTCTCAAGAAGTTTTATAATCACAGGAAATTATAAAAGGTTGTCTCAGTACAGTAGTGGCTGACAGATGGCTGAACCTAATTAACACACTAGAGCAGTGTGTCTAAATATTTTCAAAAAGGAGACAATTACATTTTCCATAGTAAAAGTTCCAATTTCTGCTTAAATGCTAAAATGTAGCTGTAGAAATAATAAAAAAAATAGTAACATACTCCTCATCTAAGCCAGAGAAAAATGATGTGGTTGCTATAACACAAGGATAAGAAATCTAATGGTTTTACAGCACTTAGCTACAATGGTATTTCTTTTCAGAATCTCATTTGGTTTTCTTCAATTCTCACAACAAAAGTAAAGCCAAAAAGCCATGAAGCTTGTTGCTCAGTTTCAAAAGAAGAAACGATACACACAGCTCAAGTTCCCTGAGTAAGATCTGACTGTTTGATAACTACGTGAAGTAAAATCACCAATCAACTTCTATTTTCAGTCCTTAACTTCTAAGAGCACTGTAGTAGTCATTTAAAAAATATTCTTTATTATTCTTTATTTAAAGAGGATGGTTAACCCACAAAGATATAAGAACTCATTACTTACACTGCATTTAAGCTTGCTTAGTTTCATTGTCCAGCCACAGAACATTTGTTTTTTGTTTTTTGTTTGTTTGTTTTTCCCCTTGCAATTTTGAATGACTCTCCAAGATCTCTCCCTAAGGTCTTCAGTCCCTCATGAAGTGACTCAGCCTTGCTTCGGCTACATGTCAAATCAGGTTTATTACACTTCCCCTTAAAAGAGAGGCTTTTAGAACTCCCACCACTCTTTCTGTGCTTCTGTGAACTCTCTTGGCTTTTCAGAATGCTTTCTGAGGAACTAAAAACGATAGGAGTTCCTTAACACAGTACACAGGAAGAATAAAATATTAATCTCACTTGAGATAATCTCTGCTATGTCCAGAAAGTTCACATTCAGTCTAAATTAAAAGATCTCATTTTCAGTTCACGCTCAGTTGTGTTTTTTCTATTATAATGAATTTGGGTAAGGTCAAATCCAAATGGAACTGCAGGGAGGGATAAAAAGTTTGGTTCTGAAAGCATATTTAAGTTGAAGGGTAAAAACCCTTTTTTCTTGCCTCACAGAATCTTGTGCCCTCATCATGCACGAGTGGGATGTGCTGGTATCAGCCACAGCACCCCTTGGTCAATAGGTTGCATCCTCTCCATGCTGACAGTAGTTGGGAGGAATGGAGCACAACTGCACCTGCTCCTTTGCAGACTGGAGGCACCAAGAAGGCACTCCTGGGTCCCAGAGCAGGAAAGAACAACTGGATCCAACCATTCAGGCACAGCTGAAGAGCTCCTCACGTGCTGTGCACAGAAATGCAACTCTTTAGGCAGAAGTATTTCTAAAGAGTTGCCACCAAATTATAATCATAAAGAAGTATACACAGGGTATAAAGTTCACCCTTGTGCAAATGGAAATTACAAGGCTTGAACATTCAAGAAATTCTAAAGACAAAAGTAATCAAGTTGCCCTGAAATGAGAAAAGCAGATGAAGTGATTTTTTCCCTGTACTGTGCATCTGCAATCATGCCCATACCTCTGATCTTCCTTAAGTGTGAATGAAAAAGAACTTCTGAGATATTTATTGAAGGCTCAGTTGTACTTCTGAACAATATTGATTTTTTAACTGAGAAATGAGAAATAATGCTTTATTTGTATAAAATGAAGTGAAAAGGATCAAATACCACACGACGGAAGAAAGGCTCTACGATATCTCAAAACTTTAATACACCTGCCATATTTCATTTGTCTTTTCTACCTCCATAGAGAGGGAAGAGTCACACTGCTGAGGAAATTGGCTTATTTCACACTGCCATTTGGCACAGCACCTATTGATTAGAAGATGGTAACTAGTGCTATTAAGTTACCTGTGGTAAATCAAATGTTCTCAATTACATGCACAAATATTTTTCTAGCCATTGATCTGTTAAAGTATCCTTCAAAATTAGCTTTGACATTAAATGCAACATATTACTTGCTCAAAACTGTATTAAAAGTTTAAAAAAAAAAAAAAACAGTATTCTAAAATTCTTGCATGACTTCAAATGTTTCCAAAGGTTACCCTAAGAATGGTTACAAAATCTTCTAAAATCTACTTCATATGCCTTACATGCTCCTGTTAGTGCTTCACCTTTAGAAATCTCACTCCGGTGTAAATGCCTGATCACCACTCAGTTGAAAACCACAGCTCCCCCCAAGCTCCATCTTCAAAACACTGTTTTTCACGTGAAACAACGTGAGCTGAAAGTTACCTTTAAGGCAACACTACCCAGAACTGAATACATAGTAACATTTCTTAACTTTTCAAATTGAGCTTTTTCTCCTTCATTATTTTCACCTCTCAATGAATATTTCTTTGAAGTCACTGCACTTGGAATATAATGCAAGTTGAGATGAATTTTGTTCCCTGGGAAGTTAATGTAATGGAAACTATCATATCCTGACAAAATTAAGCCATGCTTCAACTACTCCTACTTGGAAACTGACTCAAAGGTAGAAATAAAGTGTATTATCACTTGAATGCTGAGAAACAGTGAGAGAATTTATGCAGTCAGCCACAGCACGGAAAGGTTCCTCTGACAAGCAAAACTATTTGCTAGTTACTGATGTGCAGATGATAAAAATGCCCATCTTACAAAACATGCTACCTGAAGCCTTCTTTGAAAAGACCTGCTCAATCTAATGAGAACTGGAAGAGATGAGAGCATCTCTGCAGTCTATTGCAACCCAAGCGGGAATCAATTACTGGTGCATGCACAAGGCAGAAGAATGCCTTCTTTATGGCAATTAAAGGATATATTATGGAAGGGGGAAAAAAAGCAAGCATATTTGAAAGTGAAAGGAAATCTCCAGAAGTTCACAAAGCACACCAGAAAGGCAAAGGAGAGGAAACAGAACTTTGCAGGCAGTGGCTACTACTAAACACCTCAGTTAATGAATGTAAAGTTTTGTCATATTGTAAAGTGTTTGCTTAGAACTGAGCATGAAGTACTTCGGTACTTTTATGTTTGATAATAACATTCCTACATTCAGAAAAGCAACAATATTTATTTCCAGAAAACACAATTAACTTCTTTTGTCTGACATAAATGAGGCTGATTTCAATTCAGCCAGGGTTTGAAAACCTGGGTCTGCAGTTCCATTGCCTAAGGATATTTTGGTAAGAGAAAGTATCACACAATCACTATCATGTACTCAAGTTTTAACCAAAAGAGGCATCACTGTATTTATCAGGTCATCTACAGTGCTTTCCAGTTAGAGTACTGGAGCAAAGCAAAGTCATTCCCTGTTGTTCAGCCAAGGAATTCATAACCATTCATAACCACACAAGCAGCTTCTCACACTCAACCCTTCCTTCCCCCCTTCCGCGCCCCCCCCCCCCCCAAAATATTCACCCCTTTATCTCTTCCTCTAGCAGATGCCCTCAGCTGGGGAAGGAAGGATAGTGTAGGGTTTGTTCATTTGTTAGAAATGGCAGCCTTAAACATGTTTGGGAAAGAAGAGCATAATTTGTCAGCATGTAATAAACTATTGTTCATCAACCAAAAATTATTAAAACACATAGAACTGCTAAATATAGGTAAGTGGTCATGACACAGTGACAAAAAAGCAGCATGAGAAGCAGAAGTGGCTCAGACTTCCATCTTTGCATGGTGATTTGCAAAATATTTCTTCTTAGGAAGTCATTTCCACTTGGGTTGTAGAGAGAAGGAGGAGCACACACACCAAGTACCTCCAGCTTTGCGCTAGAAACAAAAAGCTTTCAGTCTCTTGGTCCCTACATAATCTCGTCAGAAAGATGTAGCCATTCATCTCCTCATACTGTTTGCCCTGATCACTTAAAATGACGTATACTAAGAAAATAAGGGACAAAAACTTTCCAATCTAAGCAAATCCTGAAATTCAACATTTGGAAGCAGAATAAGAACATTTAATTCAGCCCTGATCAGCGGCCTTGGCATAATGGGCCCCTCACCCATCCTGAATGCGCTGATTTTCCCAGTCAGCTCACTTGACACACATCCAGTAAATGCATCTCAAAAATGTATCTCTACCTCTTGGTTGCTGGAATTCTGCAAGGCAAATCCACTGAAGCAAGCCAAAATGGATTCATCGTGGGAAGGACAGCACAGAGCACTTTAGAAATACTTGCAGATAATGGAAAACATTTTCAAGTAAGTCATGTTGTTTCTCAGAGACTTTCCACTAATGGAAATGAAAATTATAAAAGCCTGCTTGTAAACTTCAGAGTGAGATCATGAAGTAGCTAAATTGCTGCAGCATTGTGGCACACCTGTTTCAATTAAGGCAATTAGCTTAAAGGATGGGACATTCCTGCTGTCACTGTATCAGCCAGCAGAGTGGCTGCACTTGTATTCTCAAATGGCTACTAACTAGAATGTAATAAGAACATTTTCATCATTTATGCACCTTCCACTGCTAATTGCCAAGTTGTTTGCGAGAACAAATACTTGCTCTATCTGTATAAAATTAGTCCTCTTGTCTTCACCATTTTTTTTATTATTATTTTTTTATTTTTTAAGTTCAGTGAAGTCAGGAGTTCAACACAGCAATTTTCCTATGAATTAGATGGGATTAACTTTGACTCAGTCTTTTCCTACAAAGAACTCTACTGACCTTCCCTGCAATGACAAAGGGGAAGACAGAGCCACATAATGTCCTGATGTCTGTTCCACAGCACAGACCTGACCTAGACCTCAACTAGAGTTGTGCCTGACCATCAAACCTGACAAGGCTGACGTTACGCCCAAGAGCTGTTTCTGGATCCCTCTGCAGACCTCACCGTGCTCAGAAGAGTGATTTGGCCTCATCTTCTGTTTTAGGCCTCTCCATGTGATCTGTGCTTTGAATATGAAATACTGAGTATGTATTAGCGCTGCATTATTGTCTGCTAGAGCCTTATTCATTCACAGCTGAATACCTTCTGTTACCCAACTGAGGCAAAACTGCACTTAGAGCCACTTCCTGGAGAGCAAGTTACACCATTAGTACATTTTAGCAGAACGTAATTAAATAACTCAGAATGGCTGGAGACAGTAACAAATACTGAAGCCAGAAATATAACTATGCAGCAATACATTACTTTTTTTTCTCCCCCAGAAACAACTTCTAAAGGCTACAAGAAAATCTGTACAAGCTGCACCAAGTTTGTATCAACTGATGTTATTACTACTACAAACCATGACCACAATCAAGAGCCGTCCTATTATTTAATTCTTTATCATTGCCAGTGTTCCTTCCATCATCTACCAGGATCTCTCTAGATGTGCCTATTTTGACTTCCTACACTGTTTTATGGATTTATGATCACATTTAAACTCTCCTCATTTGAATTCAATGTCTCTGCTTTTTCCTCCGCCTACTGTTGTGGGTTTTTTTGTTTTTTGTTTTTTTTTGTTGTTGTTGTTTTTTTTGTTTTGTTTTGTTTTTTCCCCCTCTGCCACACTGGATTCCACTGTCACTTCACTTTCTCTCAAATTCCTATTTTTTAATTTCTTCCAAGTAAGAAATTGAGAATGGAAAGCTCTGCAGATATTAGCTTAAAAAGAAACAGCTGTATGAAATCCAGTACCTTTAGTCCTATCACAAGAGAAAGGATCCCCAGAGAACTGTGCACGTAACAACTACTTCAACGTAACAGAAAGTTTGACCTTGCAGGCAGCAACATTTTCAGCAGATTGATGGGCTCCTTACATTTGCAATGTACCACAAGCATTGAATTAACCACAGATGACATCCCACCAGCTCCTAAAATGCAGATTATCACTGCCCCATAGGAAGCCTGTCTGCTAGAACTCTCTTAGAGCAGTCAAAGCCAAATTGGTTCAGGTTTCTAAGACTACCTTTCCTTTACCCAAAGACAGCAGAGAATCCCATGAGGATTCCTATGACCCCAAAAATCAAGCAGCTTAATTTTTGTCTGTTTTTCAGACTCATTACTTTTTTTTTTTTTTTTTAAAATGCATCTCACTTAAGAGTTCATCCAGAAATTAGAGAGACAGTAAGAAATGGTCTCTATTAACCATATGTCTTCAAGCTACCAGGCTGTAAAAAACCACCTCCTCTAGTTCCAGTTCTTTTCTTTTGTCCTTTTCTGACAAAAGTGATGGTCACCAACTAAACAAACAAAAAATATCCACAACATAATCTCTATATAATCTATAATCAGCTCTGGACAAACACCTTTATATTTTTGTACCAGCCTTTTGAACAGTATTCATAGCAACAAAAGGAGTTCATTAGGGAAATGAAGTAAATGAGATAGATACATAAACTTATAGCTTCATAAAATGAGCAAAACTCAAACTTAGTTTGGTTAGAAACTCAAAAAAAAAAAAAAAGAAAACTCAAACTTAGCTTGGTTAGAAACCAAGCTAAATTGAACAATTTCTAATATGTTCAGCAACAACCTCAAAAGAAAGATTTCTCCGTAACCTACCTCAGCTTCCCCTCTACTGCCTTCAGACAAGAATTCTAGACACAGCTATCAAACAAACTATTTTTTTTTCTCCTCATTAGACAAAGAAATTAAGCTAGCTGTGCGAGTGCGAGTCTGACTTTACTCATTTCATCAACAACACTGCAAAAACAACTGCAATGGCCAAATACTGGTAAAGCTTACTTGCGATTCGAAAGACATTTTTCCAGCAAACTTATCTCCTTAGCACAACATATGCAATTATGTTTTTGGCTTACAGAACATGAATTCTTAACTTATTACTGATCCTGAAATAGGAACCAATTAAGAAGTGCTCCGGGTATCAACAATGAGTCCCCCTCCAGTGGATAGCCATTAAATAAATGTTTAACCTCTCTACAACTATCTCTGACCAAATCGACCACTTTCTGGGAATAAATCACTTTCAAGTTCTGTATTTCTTGCAAATGGATTTTAAAAATCATACCCACAAACTCTGCTCCATTGTCATTGACATACATTCTTATTGTTTTATAGTAACAGGATAATTATAGTTACGTTAACCAGAAGCAATAAATGTCCCTGGTAGCTTTAGCACTGGAAGCAAACTACCTTCCATACCTTATCAGAAAGGTACAGAAAATGAAAACAAATCCTTCTTGAACCATTACTGAAACCAAATTAAACCCTATCCCATTACAGTCAGAGAATCTGCACAGTTCAAACGTAGTCACTGAAGGAGATAGGACCAGACTAAACAATTACCAAGCATCTTGCTTTTTACACAATCGAGCCCCTCTTTGTTTCACAAAATCTATAACCAAATTTTTACATTTCTCTTCAATATTCTGAACAAAAATCTTAAAAAGAAAACAGCCTACCAGCATCTTCTTTGTACATACATTTAAGATTCCTGGATATTCTAGAGTTTAACAAGCCAATCCATGCCACTTGTTTATTACACCTAATCACATTTGACACAGATGTGAAGTAACATGCAGTCTTACATTTCCTCCTCTGAAGTATATACTGACCATCCACCATTTTCCATTTATTGCAGAATACTTCTGTAACTACACAAATATAAGAACAAAAAAAAATTCATAGCTGACAAAAGCAGCAGCCCTTCACATGCCTACTATACAGCTACTTGTACACACTGCAGCAACATGTACTATTCTGATTATATCCACAGCCTGCTTTGCCTTGCAGTTGCCTAAATACATCTACTGACAAAGAAAACAAAGCACATGATAAACCCAAACTGCTAAAGTTAAGATAAAAGGGATGACTGCCAATTACAGTGACTGCCAATCAACAACTATGCCTTAGAGCAACTTTACATTAATAATTAGTTAAGATAAAAGCATACCTTCAGAACACACCATCTCATTATCCCCATGTACCATGCTTTGCTTCAACTCACCAGCTGTTCCTGGAACACCAAAACTTTCAGATTAAACTAAAGCAGAACAGGTGCTTCAGGATCACACCCAATGTGTTTCACCTGCTACAGCCACAGGACAAGGCTAGAGCTAGTCCAAAATAAGCCTACTCTCAATATATGCTGCGTGGCTCTCAGTTGCTTCATGTCCACTGCTGGTCTCCTGTTCTGTTGGGAGCACTATTTAACTGTGGAAATAGCATTATTGTATCTGTGAAACAGAGGACCGAGAGTCCTTGCTAGTTGGTTATGTGAGGCTAAATAGTAGCAACATTTGGAGAGCATGCATCTGAGTTCTAACTCTTGCACTCTTCTGCCATGGCAAGCGACTCAAGTAAGGCTCTGGAACACAGGCAGTTTCACAAAAGTTATGTTATGGACTGCAGAGGCCACAGTCCTGTAGTATCTGAACTGACTAGTTAGGACTAAAACAAAATGGAACAAAATGATGTGCTTATTGTGACATTAAAATTCAGTGAACAAGACTTCAAAATTACCCTAAGAATAGAATTATGCATTCAGGAGTTGCCTTTTAAAAAAAAAAAAAGTTTGGAAATTTATCTAAACAATCCTACCTCATCTTCAACAAGGACTTAGACCGTAACTACGTAACTATCATTTACCCAGTTCTGGATTATTTCAGGCAAACATTTCTTTGCCATAAGTTTGTTAAAACATTGCGCTTATCACTACAGTAAACAAAACGGTGTTGCTTTGGGGAAAATACGTACATTTTGACCACTTCAATTTCACAGTCTTCATATGTGATGTAATTGTGATGAGAGATAAAACAGTAGAATTCTGTTTCATAATATCTTAAATATGCTTCACATTCAATGCTATTTCTAGGGATGAAAAGACTAACTTTCCATTTAAGTCTCTGAAATGTTAAATTCAATGAGACTGCTGTCACAGAGTACAGTTCTGCTTTTTTAGGATGTCAAGGCATCATTTAAAGAAGAGACTGTGTAAAAATTTATGGATAATATCATACATGTCATCCATAATGAATAGTATGGATGCAACAGCATGCAGGAGTACAAAATTTACAGCACACATGATCTACTTGCAAAATACAACACAGGAATATGGATTGCCATTTTAATGAATTCTATAAACTTCTTCAGTGTTGAAATATATACACTGAGGGTTTGCCAGTGAAAGAGCACTATTTCTAAGCTCTTGCAGAAAATCAAATGACAATAATTTGGCAAGAGTGTTGTAAGAAAATTAAAATGAAACTGTCCTGAACGTACCCCATAAGCAGAAAACACTTCTCTTTCCAAACAGATCAATGTATATTCTGCCTTAAATCTTCACAGAAAATATTCTTCCTCCAATTTAATTATTACAGTCTCTGTTTCGTGCATTCAAGTCCAAATTAGATTTGTCATCCTCTAAAATGGTTAATCTTGAATAGGGAACAGAACCGATAAGGGACACAAATCTGGGAGTTTTTCTGATGAGATTACAGAGTTATAAAATAGAATACAAGTATGAAAACCTTAAGAAGTTTTGATTAAGAATCACTGGCAAAAAAAACTTCGATTAAGGCTTCATTTCTGAAATAGAACTATCCTGACACACACTGGCTGCGGAATTGGCCTTACGTTCCTATGGGGAAGAAACTTACATAAGGAACTGAGATTCAGTGAAATGCTCCATTAGCAGACATCTTGTGAGAAGGTAGAAGAATGGGGCATTGAGTTTTACGCATTTTTACAGTTTTTAGATAATATTTAACATCCTTTCCAAGCAAGACTTTTCTATTACTTGATTCAATCTTTATACCATTTTTGTTGAAATACACCTAATTTTTAAAATTGCTATTTAACTAAGTCATATAAATTTGAAATGGAAATAATCTTTAACCATTAAAAATGTGATTAATTTGCTAAAAGTGATGTCCTGAAGGGACCCCTAAAGCCTTTGCGTGGTTTATTTGGTTTTCTCCAAGGCCTGCTTGACCTGCTTGGATGTAAACACAAGCTTAAACCAAAGTTATTTCATTTATTTCAGTTTCCTTCAACAAATCCAAATATTTTAAAAATAATGACAATCAGTTATTTTTCAGGGACAACTTTTTTCCTGTATTGTTGCCACTACTATTTTTAAAGTCAGCTCCAAAATTGTAAACACGTTAGAAACCAGCTGCTTCTTAGAAGCTCGGCAAAACTGAGCAAAAACATTCTAAAGGATGTTTTAGGTGGGTGTAAGCCTGCTTCTATGTTGCTATTTACATTTGTCACCAGCTGTGGATTTTTCATACCTGCACTGGAGCATACGCTCTTAGCTACTGCCACATGCCTAGTCGTCATAGCTGATTTGATCTTAGTTTGCTACTGCAAACACTTTAAAAGAAACATAGGAACAAAACCTTGGAAAAAAATTACTTACACAAAGGATTTTATACTGAATACTGCATGTTTACCAGTTTCTTCATTATGTTTCATATTTTCGAGAAGCTAATCAATATCAGAAGATAAACAATATGAACAACAAACCAGCTAATTAAAAGTAGATTTTTGTCCCTCGTGCGAATTGTTACTTAATGAAGAGAGACTGACTATGCTGATTTCTGAATTATAAATCCTAAAATCCAAGGAAATGCCTACTTCAGGTACTGCTTGTTTTCTTTTCCTGTGTGCTATCATTTAGCATGAAACTGCTTCAAACCTGTACTGTATTTGACCTTCCCTTCCCACCCACTCCACCCAGGCACTTGCATTACTTAAGATGGGAACTTTTATTTTCCATTCTCAAATGGCTTTAAATTATTCTTGTTCAATTCACTCCAGGCACAGTATTTTTTCACTTCAGCTACTTAAATTGTAAATGTTTCATGAATAAATGAAAGTTATGAATAAATAGATGGGTGCACTATATGAAAAACTTTAACAAATAAGCTGTTCAATTTCTTAAAAGTTTAAGTTGTAAACACTATTCAACACATTTTTCAATATTTTTTTAAAGGCTTCCTGAATTCTTTTTTTTCCATTAGAAAATAAATAACACTATTTCAATCAGATCTCTAGTCTGAGGTGTAAAAAACAAAACAACATTTCACTGAATACAGTAAAAGAAAAAAATAAGAGTTGGTTATTTTTCTGAGTTATCATTCTACCTGTACTGTGGACAAAAATGAATGAAGTAACGTTCAGCATTTTCATTGTTTGGAAAAAAGCGTAATGGTCAATGTTGAGTGAAAATACCACTACTCCATTACATTTTGATAGGAAAATAGCTTGCTTTGTTCAGCAGACTGAACACATACACATCCCCACACAGAGAAAGCTAAGGTACAGAGCAGCAGAGTATATATCAAGGAACAAATTGATCACAGAATCAGGAGGGTTATCAGGAACCCCTAGAGATCACTGAGCCTGACCCCAAAATGAGACTCCGCACTGCTGATCACAACTTCCTGAATCCCATTCCTCTGAACTGTATGGGTATTCTCATACAAAGACTAGAACACACTAGAGAGCAGACAAATCAAAACCACTGAGGATGTGAACTGGACAGAAGCTACAGTACACTTGCACAGTCAATGAATATACAGATGATATAGTATATTCAAGAGCTTGGCTTATGTAATTATTATACTAGAGCAGAAAAAGGACACTCACTCTATCCTGGGCTCGCATAGGAAGCCCCATTGGAGTAGATCTTCAGAAGAGATCCTTCCCCACTGGCAGCCAGCTCTTAAATAGGTCTAGGAGAGGTGCAGCCAGGCTCCAGCCCTTCCGGCAGCACAGCTGAATTGCCTTCACCTGTGCTCCTGTGCCTGATTCATTACTCGCCTCAGATGATCAATCAGAGGTTCAGGCCGTGACTCAGCAGCTCCCATACAACACTTCAGCAGAATGACAAGATAGCCACAGAAGTCTCTTAGCTGAATAGTGTGGGTTTTAAGAAGTTTTGCTAGATAACAGAATAAGATGAAGAGCCTCAGACATAAGAAAGCATCTCCTCATTACTCCCAGATTCCTTACTGCAAACTCACAGACAAAACCAGGAAACTGCTGCAGCATGTTTCACGACAGCGGAAAGACAAGCAATGGAGCGATGGACTTCAGAGGAAGCAAATATTTTCTTATAAACTGAAGGAACTAAGAAATATGGGCATCTATTAAGACAATATAGAGCAATTATTTTTTTCAGCTACAAAAATCTGCAAGATTCAGCAACTTGCTGGAAGTAGGCATCCCAGTAGGTACATAAGTACAAAATGAGGAATTCGATAAATATACTGCATTTCAACCTCAGAGCCTTAGATGAGCCCTAGAAATTAAACAGACGCAACAGCAGTTTTGAAAATCCCTGTTCTCCTAACAGGATACTTTTAGGTACAAACACAAATACATGCACATCATGCTTACTATATGCAAAGGACTACCTAAAATGCCAACACACAACCAGGGACATTCTACAATTTATCACATATTTTATTTTGCTTGCTTTTTTTTTTTTTGTCTTTTGACTTTAACATTGCATTTATCAGTAATAACATTGAAATATTGCTGTATGTTTGTGTTTAAAATATTTTAAAGCTACCAAAAATTGAAGCAATTTCTAGTCCTTGAGAAAAACAAAATTCAAATATTTATTTTCACTGGCTAGATTCCCTTGCAGAATTCCTGTTGTGTAAATACTGTCTTAGAAACAGCTGGAGGCACAGAAATGCACACTGAATATAGAAAAAGTGCAAAACAGCAGAGCTCAGTGGTGACATTCATCTTCACAAGTGTGGGGATGAGCTATAACTCAAATGTAGCACAGCCATTAGCAAGTTATCCTGTCAGTACCTCTCACTACAAGTGCAGACAGATGTCATCAAGGATCAGGCATTACCAATGTTTTATCTCTACTAGGTACAGCATGTTCAATGGTATTTGCTTCAAGAAGTTCATCTTGACTAGAGTTTCCTTCTGAACACTAACAAGACTGTCTCCCCTACCTTTCACTCAAAACAATTTTCAGATTCAAGCTTGGCTAGACCTCAGGCAATCCACCCAAAGCAACTTGTACCCAAGGCTCATGGTCAGTCCATCGTGACATAACTGATCTCTTTTCACTGTTGTAAGAAAAGTTTGGCACTGTGGTAAAGCTGCAAGGGAGAACTTGACATATAGAGGCTGTAGGTGGAAGATGAGGATTGTGTAGATCAGCACACAAAAAAATAACAGAGATAAATGATAGAAGCATAGAAGGCCACCATGCCTGCTGCTGGCTGAGCCCACAGCCATTTGTTTCCCTGCCAATGCCAACATGAGGAACAAGCTGCAAGCAGCTGGGAAACTTGCCATATTTCTATGGTGCTCTGATGGATTTGCTCAGCATTATTTCATGTGAATATCTAGTATCTGACTGCCTTTATTCAATACAAGCAAAATTTAGACTATGTCCCTGGGTCATACACAGTTATATACTGGAACAGTACAGGCATATTTAGAAATGCTATCATATGTGCATTTTTGCTTATGGACACTACTTTTTTTCCTTAAGAAAAGCTTGCGGCAGTGCAAGTGGAGTCCAGATAGAAAATCCTCTTATCAATGTCCAGAGACATTATAATAAGTATATTCATTTTACAAGAAGCTCTGAGTATCAATCAAGGCAGTCCTCAATTAATTTATCTGCCACTGTCTTAATACAAAACAGCTAGGTAAGTCACTTTCCCTTTCTTCCTTGCACTTTCATCTCCATAGTAAGCAAAGTTGTATAGCTTCCAATGCTAACATCACTAGATTATTTCACTTGATATTTAACATTCTAATAGGTTACTTTGATATTATGAAATGAAACAAAATATTACATACCTCGACTGTATGGGGCTGTGCTGAGTCATGGCCTGAACCTCTGATTGATCAGCTGAGGTGAGCCATGAGTCAGGCACAGGAGCACAGGTGAAGGCAATTCAGCTGTGCTGCCGGAAGGGGTGGAGCCTCGCTGCACCTCTCCTAGACCTATTTAAGAGCTGGCTGCCAGGGCGGAAGGATCTTATCTGGAGATCACCTCTGCTGGTACTTTGTAGGTGAGCTCAGCATAAGGGTAAGCCTTCCATTTATTCTCTTTTGTTATCATAGTCTGCTTTGCTTAACTCTCTTGTTTATTTTGTGATTATAACAGCCTAATATTCTTTGATTATACACTCAACAAAAAAAAACTACCACAACATTTGAAGCACTTCTTTAAAATGGTGACACAAAACAGTAAACTAAGTTCTTGAGCTACTGCAGTCAAGCTTTCATATCTCTATTGCTCAATTTCTCATTCGTATCTGTTAATCCAGAAGTATTGCCTCCTATTTTTTCCTGTGCGAACTACAAGCAATATAAATAGCACACTTACACTACTTAATAGAGCAAATTCTCAGCTACAAAATACTGTTTTCCAACATAATCGCCACTATTAGCTATGCACTTTTGCCTTCTATGAGCAGGAGTCTGCATGCTGTGCTCAGAAAAATCTGTACCAGTGGAGGTGATCCACTGCTGAAACGCACCATGCACTGCCTCCCTATGCTCACATGCACTGATTAGTCTCTATAAACATTTGGCAAGTGGATGTCATTTGTCAATGGATGCAACTTTTTCAACATGGAAGAATTCAGTTCCACACCTTCGCTTCATACACGCTACTGTGTCAGACAACACAATGTAATGAGATACTGGTGGGAGGTTCAAACTACTACTGCTGTATGGCCAACATCTGCCAATGACATTGAGGGCTGACATAATAAAACAGGAGGCATTACTTTCAGAGCAGCACTTGTAAAATTAGGATGAAATATCATCCTGACTAGTAGAAGAGCTGGAGAAAAAAATAAAAATAAAAAATAAAAAAAAGCAGAATTCCCCAATGCAAGCAAATCAAATGAGCCAAACCTCTGGCATCTGGCTACTTATCTTTCATTCTCCCTTTGAGAGCCCTGCTTTGCAGTCACTGTTTTGATTTAAGCAATGCAGAGCCTTCTGAAGAAAATGGGAGCTGTGAACACACAGTACTTCTGTGAATGGAGAAACACAACTGGGAAGAATGAACAGAGGAACCTGGAGCCAGAAGCTCCTGATTCTGTTTCAGGCCTGCCATTACTTCCCATGTGACATTCATCAATCATTTACTTTCTTCATAATTTTTTTTCTATCTGTAAACAGAAAGATAACACATTGTCATCTACCAAGGGAGTGACAAAATATGTCTTAGCAGTTTTGAGGCACGCAGATAACACGACAAACCATTGCAAATGTAAATAAAGAAATGAATATTTTGGTGTAAGGTCTATAGGGATTTTCTGTACTGTACAATAAGCCTGGCTACCATGCTGAGACTGAAAGAGGACAATCAAACTTGAACTATTAACACATCATGCTATTAGGCAATTAAAACTCTACTCAGAACAGCTGTGCATGTAGGACAGAATAGGACAACTCATATGATGATCAGTCTATCATTTCCTAATTTCTTGGTACTAGACTTCCAATTTCCTAATTTCTTGGTACTAGACTTCCAACTCTTCAAAGAAGTTGAATAATTCAAGGCAAAACTGGGCACAACACACAGCACTTGCAACTGAAGGGCATTTTTTAAGGAAAAGTGACCTAAAACTGTGTTGAGGTGCTAAGGGCAGCTTCCTCGGAAGAAACGTTGGCATAACTTGTTGGGGAAAACTAAAAACAGTCACTTGAAATATCCAAAGGAAAAAGAAAGGAAAAATTGGCTGGGACAAGCCATATTAACAGAGAATGTACCAAACACACACACAGCTTTATAAAAACAAAAACAAAAGAAACAACAGTGCCAACCTCCCCCTCTCCAGCGCAACACTGGGACCGCACCACGAAGGCACCACGTACGCTCCGGTGAGCCACATCCTCCGCCAGACGCCTCACTACACAACTACCTGCACCCTCACGTATACGATTGCACAGCCAGTGAAGCTAAACCCTCCTTAGCAAAACAAACCCAAGCCCTTTCCCGCTACGCCTACCCACCACCGCTTGCCGAGCAGCAGTTCTCTCCTCCGTGCCCACGTACTCCTTCGCCCCCAGCCACAAAGATGGTGGCCGCAGCGGGGCGGCCTCGTGCCCCTCCATCCCGCCTCCCGCCCCGCACTGACCTGTGGGCCGCATCGCACCGCGCCGTGCTCTCCGCTCCCTCTTTCCCTCGCCGGCTATATTGCTCTCCTCAGTGCACTGTCCCTGTGCCGCGGTCGCCGCTATCGGCCCGGAAGCGTGGGGCCGCCCCCGGCTCCTCCCGGCCGCGGTGCTCCACCGCCCCGGCCCCTACACCGCCCTCGGTGAGGGGAAGCGCTGCGGGCCGGAACCAGTGGGACCGTGAATGGTTACTCCCTCGTGGAGCCTCTCTCCCTCAGGCAAGCACGGAGAGTCCCCGGCCTTCAAAGTTGGTTAGGCTCGAGGAGAAAAGAGGCGGGAACCGAACCCTCCCGTGTCCTAGGGGCTTTAGTGCGGGGTTCTGCTGTTCCGAGGAGCCCTCACAGCCTACATGGGAAGTGCCCCGAGGATGGAGAAGTCCCTTCTTCGGGAAGGTGCTCTGGCACAGCATGGTTATCATCTCCTTTCAACTGTGCCTGTGTTAACTTTTTGGGATTTGAAGATGAAAACTGTAAAAAGTGAGACAAAGCAGCCCGTGTGAGAGCTTGCCCTTAGACTCAGTCAGGAG